ACGACTTATTTGAAAGTCGTCTGGGCAGACGACTTACGAGGGCTAGAAACGTAAAAAAAATTCGCGTTTTTTGTTTGTTCACAAGGAGTTGGTTGTAATTTCAATAGCCTTTTAAGTTACTTTTGCATTTGATTCAAGTTTGGGTTTACTTTTGCATTTCAAATCAAGTTTTGAGTCATATTTGGCAATTTTCCCAAGAAAATATGTGATAATACGCGTGTCAATACATATAAAACTGTCCAGTGTGTAAACAAGGAAAAAAGTTTATTAGAAAATGAGATATAGTTTCAATTTTATAACTTATATGACAGCGGATACAAACAATACAACATTACATACCGTAAGACACACAATATAGTACATATACGGCTTCTTATTATTATTCGACACAAGACATCGTTAACTCACACACACTTAAAATCCCACATTGACTAGTAGTAGTGTCTTCAACACTTGAGGTTGGTTCCAGGAGTGACCCCAAGCTTCTTGCAGAAATCCAAGTAATGGTTAACCCGGCTCTGAACTGCGGCTGGACGCCTACCGTTACACTCACCGCCGTTGATCCTCCTCGTGGTGGCTCCAAATCCTTGGCTCAAAACCGGACGCACATTCTTATTCCAGAACCACATGGCACACTTGAAAGCCACGGTTGGGCTACGAGCCACCATATCTGGATCCTTCAAGAGAGGAAGTCCAAGAAACTTTCCCGCTGCACCGTAGTTGTAGTTCCATGTGATTTGGATTGGACCACGACCGTAGTAGTTCTTTCCCGGTTGACAAGGGTAGACAGTGCTAGCTTGGCAGTATCTTCCTCTAGCTATTTCTTCTTTGTAGCAGAAACCTTTACATCATCAACGAATAAAACTTTTATGTCAAATAATGAAATGTATGTCCAACATATTAAATAAATACTCTTAAAGTATACANTCCATGTGATTTGGATTGGACCACGACCGTAGTAGTTCTTTCCCGGTTGACAAGGGTAGACAGTGCTAGCTTGGCAGTATCTTCCTCTAGCTATTTCTTCTTTGTAGCAGAAACCTTTACATCATCAACGAATAAAACTTTTATGTCAAATAATGAAATGTATGTCCAACATATTAAATAAATACTCTTAAAGTATACAATTAAAATATAATGGAATATTTTTTTTGCAATAAAGCTAAAAAAACCATATATCTTATGAGGAAGCTTCCGGTCTTTATAATTTTTTTCAACTAACGAACTAATACAGACGGATAACCAAATGCGTTCACATATTTTAAAAAAAAAATACTTTATATGTTAATAACTATAAATTAGATTTAAAATATTTTCTGATGAAAAAAATTGATAGAAAGTAAACGGTGAACTTACTTCCAGATTCGTGAGAGAACTGAGCCAACATGGCTGCAATCTCTCGCTTAGCAACGGTTCCTTTGTAGGCAGCAAACGATTGAGCGGCTGCGATGAATGCCTGGCGAGTGTAGAACCCTTTGGCTGGGCAACCTCGTCCAACTTTACTCATGATGCCGTTGAAGAACGCTGGTGTGACAACGCTCGCTATGGTACCGCGAGGACCAGCGTTTAGACCGCCACTACCGCTGGGAGTTGGAGTAGGTTTAGGCTTGGGTTTGCAAGGTCCACTCTGACATCCCGTGCCACAGTAGGCGTTTGTGGTGCCACAATATCCCCACCTGCTGCAGCACATGTTGCCTTTACAACCGGTTCTACCGCAGTTTTGAGAAAATGCGGTTTCGGTCATGATGGTTAAACTGAAGAGCAAAATCATGAGAGCGTTTTTGAGAAGAACATTGTGTATCGCCATCTTTTGATATTTTTGGTGGATCGAGTGTTTTTGATGGTGAGTTGTGGGAAGAAATGAGAGGGTTTGGAGACGTATTTATAGTGTAAATTGGCAATATTGAATTATGTTTGGTCAAGGTTAAATATGTTTTATAAACAAGTCATGACCCATTCCTTTTCTTGTAGTTGTGATTAAGGATAAATACTATGATCATTTGAATATGGACTTGGTCTTAACGTTTAGCGGAATTTTAATAAAATCGTTTTCGAGATAATCTTTTCTAATCAAACAAGTCCGGGACTGGGTCGGTTCACATACGCCAACAACCTATTTGAACAATTAAAATCTAAATCACATATAACCTTAAAATTATACTCTATATCTCGATATCTAAAAACAAAGAACATATTATATGTGTGCATTTGTATATACAACAAAATTATTAACTTGATAGCCTCGATCCATTATTGTTCGATATTCGTTGAACTAAAACTAAAGTCTGGCTTTATTTTATCAAATAGTTTAGATGAAAAGAACTAGAAATTTTACATCGTACGTCACTAACATTAAACAGGAATTATTGCTTAATTAACGGTGTTATTATCACATAATGTATGGGTGAAATATGTTACTGCAGGCTCTACGATCGCGTGAGACTCTGCATATGGAACAAACCAAAATTAAGAGCAAATAATGGAGGATTGTCGTAAAAAAAAAGCGAGCGATAATGGAAGATTTTAAAAATATTAAGCTTGGAACCATTTCGTGTAATAGTTTTGGACATTTATATTGATCAACTTTAATACATATGATATTATCCAAAAATATATATTTTGTGTAAAAGACTTTTTCTTCGACGAGTAGATCATACATATTAGAGTGAAATATATTAGATATGTATCTTGGGCAACTTAATTCTAAAGAATTCACCAAATATTTATAATTCTACCACAAAAATTTGAAAACCATTTTCTACCGGAGAATTTCAAAACATCGAACCACATGTATATTATGCTTACTTACGTTGCGCATATAAAATCAAGGTATGTGATACGACTTTTTCAAACCTATGTGATACAATTAATTTGAAACTAGGGTAGCGAAGCCGTATTATATTATAAATACATGAGTGATTTAATGAATTATACATATTTAAAGCTCAAATTAGCAAAATACCATTGATTGGACATGAAGGACATTGACACAACCATTTGGCAAGGAAATGCCGAGAATGTCCTTTCTCTTTTCTCTCATTAACACGAAGCGTAAAAACATTTGTTAACATATAACACTTCTGTTAACGTCTACAATATTTGTTAACAGCCAACACATTTATTACCGCGAAGCGTAAAAATAATTGTTAACAGTTAACACTTTTGTTAACGTCTACAATATTTGTTAACAGCGAAAACATTTATTAACGCGAAGCGTAAAAATAATTATTAACAACTAACACTTCTGTTAACGTCTACAATATTTGTTAACCGCTAACACGACGTCAAATCTAAAACACAGAAAATTGATATCATCAAAAAATTGAGGATTCAAAGCCACTTATGAAAAAAATAATGAAATTTAAAATTTAATTGTATATAGAATGATAGAGATTTGTAAAATAATTAGGGATTAGAGAGAAAAAAAAGGTCAAAAAATTGAGGATTCAAAGCCACTTATGAAAAAATAATGAAATTTAAAATTTAATTGTATATAGAATGATAGAGATTTGTAAAATAATTAGGGAATGAAGAGAAAAAAAAAAGAGAGAAATGTCAAAGAGAAAAGAAAAAGTGTAGAGAAAGGCAAAATGGTGCAAAGGAAAATGATTGTCACATCATGGATAAATCTCTAATTATAAGTGCCAAATAAGGCACTTTAGCCAATTATCTATAAATACATCTCCATATTAGAAGCGAATATGCCATATACAATATAAGCATCTACGTCTTTAAATTATCACGACATAGGTGGTAAACTTTTTTTAAAAATTATCACGACATAGTTTTCAATTTTTGTAGAGTATCTTCGGTTGTAAAGGACTTATCCCATCGGACATCTAACTTTTAATATAAGCATTTGTTGTTAAAAAAAAAAAGACTGCAACGCTTTGGAAATGATAATGTTCATGTTTCTCACGTAGTGATAATTTTAGCTAACATTCCAAATCACTAATAAATGTATAATTATAATTTAACGAATCGTTGAATTGACTAACTATGTTATTTAAAGGGGTTTACTTAGCGAGTCACGACAATTTAGAGGTTTACTTCAGCGCTAACTAAGAATCCTTGGAATTCGCTGGCGTGGCCCTATGCTTTCAGAGTCAACTCAAGCATGTCACATGTTCACATGAAGGAACACTCCTTTGTTTCCCCGGTCAAAAGGTAATTAGAGCCGGCAATTTATCTGTTAAATTTGATTCTTTATTCGTTTCGATTGATCCAAATTTTTTGGATATCCGTAAACTTTCAAATCAAAATAAATACTAAAAATCAATATCCGTTAAAATGGAAGCAAATCACAAATATTAAAATTTTGGAAAGCGGATATCCACTGTGAACCGGCAATGTATATATATATATCTTAATTGTATTTGAAGTTTTAAATGTATTAAATTATATAATTTTTATTCTAACATATGATTTGACAAATTTTGTACATATTATTACTTACATAAAAATATTATATAAAAAAAGGAAAACATTTATGACAATTATAATTTTTTTTCTTAAGTTTGAGTTATTATAATTGTTAACTTAGTTTAACTTTTTTATAAAATATGTAGATTCGCTAATTCTTTTAATTTTTTTGTATATCATGCAAAAAACATCTTACAAAACAAATTTGTATCAAATTTTTAAGATTATTTGTATTAATCAAAACGGATAAGATATCCGTAAGTATTCGTACGTATCCGTAAACATCTATTTATTTATGAATATATATTTTTCTGGATATCCGTATTTTTCCGAAACTAAGCAAATCGAAAATTAGATATTTGTAACATAAATCACAAATACCTTCAAAAACCCGGATATCCGACCCGTGTCCAACACTAAAAGTAATAACTTATTATTATTTCTTCATAATAGTCATGTGGTTTTTTTTCTCTAAAAAAATAATAATAATCATGTGGTTTTTTCATTAACAAAATAAGTTACAGGCATTCGATTCGTAATTTTAAAACTGAAAGTGTTATTGTAACACCTGTCACCTCCTATGTGGAGTACAGCGTGTCATTCCCGACGCGTCATCAAATAACAATGTGCCACCGTCTCCCTCTCTCTAGGACGACGGGCCACCCATAATATCTCGAAACATAAAAGCCCAACTACACTCGCCCAAGCCCAAATAAAAATCCGAATAAAAAGTCCAATAGCACCAAATACGTCCAATTATCACCTTATNAAGAAAGAGGGGTGAGCGACTGGGGAGTCACTCAGTGAGGTATGGGATGCTACCCCGAAGTCCGTAGACCCGGACATAGCACTCCAAATAAATATAAATTAATTCTAATGCATGTCAAACACGGTACCTAAAGTACCCAAGCAAACAAACAATGGTCCTAGCGAGTCACACACCCGCCGCCCACTAACAGGCCAAAACGCTGGGATAGTGCCCAGTAACACCGCCCGAAGACGATTCATCGACCTAACGAACTACGACCCAGCCGGTCGACTGCAGCTGTCCGTAGCCCACAAACACCCGGCCATACAGAATTACGTCTCTGTACCCGTCCCAAGCAATCCTAACTAAATGATTACATTAAGCGAAGCAATCAATGTTGAATCCTCTAACCACCTAGTTCCGGTTTAAGCAAGCAACCTAAAACTAATCAAGCAAAGACAGACTCGATTTCACGCAGACGGAACACAATAGAAATAAATTATATTTATTTAAAGTTCTAAGTCGCGTACGAATCGTTCGGAAGTAGACCCTCACCTTAGCAACTGGGGAAAAGTGGTATCTATGAACTCCAGGTGCTCAAATAGATCCCAAATCTGAAATCAGATTGAAATTTCGAGTCAGATTGACCTTCGAACGGTCGAAAACGGGCAATTTCGAAAAAGTCAACTCGCAGGTCGAAGGTCAACCCGGTCAACTCTGACCCAAGCCGGTCAACCCTTGACCAAATTGAAATCGAATTGGACCATCCGGTTTTCCTTAACCGGATTCGATTTCAATTGGACCAGATTCAATCAATTACAACCCGGTTTACTCCTAACCTAAATTCAATTGATTTAAACCACCGGTTTACCTTAACCAAATCGCAATTGAATTAAACCGGTCAAACCAGTCAACCAGCCGTTGACCGAGTCAACCGAGTTGACTCGCTGAGTTGACTCGGTCGAGTTGACCGAGTCACCGGCGAGTCACCGGCGACGGTCACCGGCGGCGGCGGTGGTCCGGCGGCGCGTGCACTTTACGCGCGCGCGGAGGCTGATCTTGCGGTGGCGCGTGCGGCTTCATCCGGACTCCGATTGAGGCGTTTTTGGTGTCTACGGCTTCGTCTCGACGAGTAGAACACAGTGGTGGCCTTGCATGCACGAGATTCTCAACGGTTCAGAAGTTATCGATGATTTACTAAACGGACAAAACAAAGCTTAAACTCACTACGATTTCCGGTTACTTTGGCCGTGGTGGACGGTGGTGATGAGCTCTGCCTGGTGTCGACGAGTGGTGGTCCGTACGAGCTCCGGCGGTGGCTCAGAAACATGGATTTCTCCATTTCTCTCTCTTTCTCTCTCACTCTCTCTCTCACTCTCTCTCTCTTTCTCTCTTACTTCTGATTTTTGCAAACAAGAACTGATGGCTGGAGCTGAGATTAATAAATAAAAGTTCTTGGGCTTTCGGGAATTGACATGGGCCTTGATGGGCTGGAGGTGGGTCATTACAATTCTCCCCCACTAACAAGGAATTCGTCCCCGAATTCGAGTCGTCTATTGATTGCTCAAATTCATAGCAATAAAACTCTGAGTAATCAATCTGCTTGGCCTCTGAAATCTTCTTCTGATCCATATCTC